TCTCCACTGTGCTGCTGTTTACGTCCGGATAGTGTAGCATGATAGCAGTATGGAAGTAGTCATTAACCAAGTACTTCTCAAATGCATCTTTTTCTTGCAGCTGCTTGCTGGGGATGTGAATACAGCTCTCTCTTGGTTTTGCTGTGTCTTGACAACAAGCTTCACCCACATGAGGCTCACCTGTTGTGATAACCGAGTCCCAAGTGAAACTTCTTAAAAAGGGAGTGTTGTTTTGTTGCATGGAGCCCCCAAAGGCTCAGTTAAGAAAAAATAAAAAGTAGTTTGCAAATCCGTGAGCACAAATTGCATGACAGACAACCATTGAATTAACTGGAGCACAGGATATTTCACCAGCATTGCAGGCCTAAATTTATTATAAATACTAATAGTTGTTAATCTGACAAGTACTTATGGTGCTGACTGGTGAGATGGACACTTTTCGTTGTTTAGTCAGCTAATCTCTAGGAGTGTAAATCATCAGTCTCAATCAGGATACCATATTATATTGATTCTTTAGATAATGATATCACAAAGTCTGTCAGGATACAATTTGTATTCAATTCAGAGGCCTGCGATCAATTTCATACAATATTATGTACCCATTTAACATAATCAGTTATATCTCACTAACACTTTCTTGAGTACCAAATATTCTTCCCTGGATTCTGATCAATTATAATGCACAATTTGTGCCTTGATGATCCAATCTTGTGTCCTCTTTTTCTTATTTTAAATGTATTTAAATACACATTGACACACCTGGACTTATTGAATTTCTGCACAATTTAACCTAACTCAAAAAAATAGCTCATAGTTTGGTATTGAATTTATGACAGTTGCTTTAGTTATGTTTATGCCCACTTGTGAGAATGTATAAAACAAGTTAAATTTAAACATAAATAAGTTTAAATATTTAACACAGCAGCCTCGAGATGAAAGAGAGGTAAGGGAGAGACAGAAAGAGAGAGCTACCTTCCTTCTTGGGTCACTTCAAGCAGTAGGCACAGAAATTTGACACGGTCATAATTGTGGAAAATAACAGATTTCAAAAATATATATAGTAATAACCGAGGTCCTGACCTTTCTGATATTATTGCTGCCCCTGTTTCTCTCTGCCTGCATTTCCTGCTCCTTCATCAACAGTAAGTTTCATAATGTCACCAAAACTACACCGCTCCACTTTTAGCAGGAAGCATCCCCCCATACATACTACAGATTCATGGACAGCTCTCACCACAGAGACACGTTACCATCACTTGTCATTTCATTCAGAACTGGGATTTGAAGACTGCTGCCGTACAGACACAGTACTGAGAAGTCACACACCGCAGGAAATACTGCAGTCCACTGGGATGTCTGTATTGGTCATTCTTTTTTTACAGTAAAAAATATATCACTGAGTACCTGAGTATTTCTCCATATAAGAGTACTTGAATATTTTAATAACTGTAAATGCACATCCCTTGTTGATGTACAGCCTGCACATTAAAACAAATATAATACTAACACGGTTCACCGCTGTCTCTTTTTAAAACAAGTCGAGTTCAAACTCAACATAAACATTTGCATAGATACTTGGAAATGAATGTATATCATCAAACACCTTAGTCACTGAAATTATTTTGTGATTTTTTTCTGCTATAAACCTTGAAAAAATGTGAATGTGCCTAAAACAGACAGTTCATTTAGCAGTTATGAAGGTCAGACAAAACTAATTTGGAGCGAGCGTTTAGGATCTTATCAGTTTTTTGGACCCAACACAACGCTCTGTAATACATTTTGATAAATTGCAGACATGGAGAGATTCAATAGAGAAAAGTTGAAGCAGAATTTAAATCAAAGTAACCATACACAATGAAATATCAACAGTTTCTGTGAAAGCCTGCGAAAAAACTATAGCTTAAAATTATTTTAAAAGACTTTGATTGTCCTTCTACATTTACATGGGATCTCCATGGCTTCGCATCAACACTAATTTCAGTCTTGATTTTCAAAATCTTTCCATCCATCCACGGATCATGTGCAGCCCAAACTGTAGTTGATCTGAACGGATCAAGGATTAGATGGGATATGTTTCACCCCTTAATATTAACACTTAACTATTATGTGTAACTTCCTTTTTTTCATGAGAAATTTCAGCAGGGACCCCAAAAAGAGCTGTGCATGAAACTTCATTTACTAAATAAATGTCCAGACAGATATTTGGAATAAAAGCATTTTGTGAAAACCTGTGCTTTCTGTCAACAGAAAAAAAACAAAATTTGGCATTTATTTTGAAAGGCATCCTCGAAGAAATACTGTACGTTATATTTCATGCCTGAGACGTACTCCACAGATGTAGACATAACACAGAAACAAGGTCAATATACTAAATATGTTGTCCCAGAACAAGAAGCGGTCTATTCTCTAGATTTCTGACGTGGCTCACGCCAGCAGCCTTAAAGCTCAGAAAGTTAACATGTATGTCGAAATGAATGTGAAGCCACCCCCTAGCCTTCATGCAGTTACATAGCTGTCTGCATATGACAAAACAAAGCAAACAAATTATCTCAACACAGATCATTATTTGGAGTTTAGGGTCAATACTAACAATCAAATTTAACTGACAACATAAGAAGGAAAACCAGCGACTTTGCAAATCAGCCAAATTCCAATCCTACTAATCAAATTAAACACCTGGGCACCTTACTTTTTTTTAATACAGTTCACTTTGAGTCTGACAAAAAAGTTCCTGGGCTAAAATCTGGATTAAGAAAATGACACATTTCTAAGAGGTGTGGTTAGAGGTGTTTCAAATAGGTCCTTCAATTAATTTAAAAACATCTCAATATAATGTTGTTTTGTCATTTAAAAACCACACAATCATTCATCAAAATAACTGTTCCATTATATTCATGTTCACATTGATGCTGTACAGCATCTCCTCCCTATCTGCTGTCCATGGTGCATATATTGGATTCATCACATCAAGAATGCCTTCAGCAATATTTCTCAAAACATATACATTCTATATATTTTTACAATGAGGATATCCAATAAATCTAGCATGCCAAACCGTGACCCATCTGATGCTCGGCAGATGTCTCTCCCAGTCCGAGAAAAAGCCTAGATGAAAAAGGCTTTGAACGCCATCTTGTTCATTGCAGCTGCTTGGGCCTTGAATACAGGAACCCATTCATTCGAGGAGGCGGAGGGAGGGGGCACACTGGCAAAATGAATTCATCTTTGTAAACTAGGAAAAACAAATAACTCTATTAAGAAAAACCTTATTTAGAAAAAAACGACTAAAAACGACTATTTTAGCGGTGTATTCTATGAATCACATATCTCCACACTGCTGGTTAATAACCTCGTTAAGACTATAGGCACATATGCTGCTTCGGTGCAGGAGGATAGAAGCTCAGCTAGGAGCCCTGCGACAGCTCGTCTGTGTCGTTTCTGACACATCGAAAAAATGTACAACTCAATTAAAGGCTCAGAATAACACTTCTCGTCGTAACAATTTGCATTTGTGTGCAGATAAGGGTTGTACAGTCCGCTTTCTTAGCTACAGCCTGAAATACTATGCAGTAGCACGGCCATGGTTACCGAAGCTGCTAACTACATCCCTGCAACAGACCCGTGATCGAGATAAACAGATTGTCAAAATCCAATTACACAATCTCGTTTACAAATTATTCGAAGAAGAAGTTTACATTAATGCCCAACCGTGTGTTCACATACTGACGCTGTTTAAACTCTCCTTAACACCAAATGACGATTGCCAGCCCTAATAGATCTACAGAGTTGCTTATTGTATTTTGCGACTCAAAGTGATATTACTGATATATCTCCACTCGGCAACTGTGCAATACATTTCATGTTATACCTATTCTGAGGAAGAATCGCGTTTAAATCGATTGGTTTCCTTTCCAGCACTGTCAGTGCATGGGGTGGCTAACCCTGCAGACTAAATGACGGACTAACAGTAATAATCCATGTTGTATAGTTTCGATTTTTCTAAATTAAACGCCTTTAAGCGCAAGAACCCGTTTAAATATATCTCACATTACACAAGTCCACAGCTGAGATATTCAGATATAAAGGGTAGCGATGACAATATGAAGTTATACATGAAAGCGATACTCAATAACAACACCGATCATCTACTCAGGAAGCTGCCATGTTCGAGATGTTAAAACCCGGATCAGTCACATCAAAATGTAGGCTGTGGCCATTGCCTGCTAAAGTTAACTTCAATGGATTGGCTCCGGATTAGTGGGGGTGGCGATGAATATGTTGGTTAAGTAGCCATTTTTAGACTCTCGTTGTCAATTACATGATGCTATGAATGTCCGACTTCGGTGGAAATAATTCCAAACACCCTGAATATTATGAGTTATGCAAGAGGCTGCAACTGTGTAACCACGATTTTAATCATATCTTCTAAGGTTTGTCATTAATAAACCAAAAGTACTAAATACTTTAAACGCTCACAGGTAAAAAACGTAAGCTAGCTTTTAGCAAAAGTATCAGGAAACCTATTGATGAACCCTACATTTAGACAATGATCAACTAATTAGGCAACATAATAATGCCAAAACTGACCCACTTGAACCCACACTCTTTATTTTACAAGAGAAGAATAAAGATACCCGGACGTGTCAGGGGGAACAACCTGAGCTATCCCCAGCTAACCTTCTAAAATGTGCAGAGACCATTAATTTACAGCTTGTCAGACACAACATGTATCACATATCTGTAATTAACCGTCCAAAAATCATCAGGTCAAGCTAGACTTGGGTTAAGGCAGTGCGTTAAGTTTCTCTTTTAGTGACCCCCACCCACTATATTACTTAATAGCAAAATGCTAACGGTGGCTGGCTAACTCTAACGGAGAAGCAACACAGCCCAGTTTAACCCCTTTCGTCCATTTTCCCTGCTTGACAGGCCAACCAACTGCACAGACACTTCATCAATTTCCTGAAGCGCAATTTCAAAATATTAGTACACAACCTTACCCGCTTTCAGTCGAGGGTATCCGATGTTATATCACATTGACTGGAAAAGGCAAAATCTTCTCTCCTCTGTCCGCCCAGGCGCTCAGATTCAGCTAGGTTAGCTACAGAGGAGCGGCACTCCCCAAACCCAGTTTTTAACCCGCCTAGGGGAAGACACACCGGCACAGAGGCGCAGATATGAGGCGGTGTTCACCCAGATAGATATATCAGAGTTTAAGCAAGCTTCCACTTCAACGCAACTTCCAAATCAAAGCAAAAATCCGTTAGTGTGTCTCCCTCCGTCGTCGTCCCTCTGTTTTCTTCCTTCACGCCAGGACCTCAATCGCTTCTTCCTCCGGCCATCAAACAGCAGAGATGGGCGCGGTAACCCTGCACTCAGGTCTGGGAAACCCCACGTTACGGCAGCGTCGCAACGCACAGAGAAGGGTCGGCGACCACTCTTACAATCAGGAAATAAATCCATTTCTGGTACCACCTACACACTTGAGTAACACATAGCTACCAAAATACAGCCTTTATAACTATATCGTTAGAAAATTGAAGAGGTAGGCAGACAACCAAATCTGAGCTAATAAAGAGCAGTTACACTCGCCCATGTTTACACATTTGACTCTGAAACTAGGGCATTAGGCCTAAAAATGCTCCCCAGGTTTTGGGGGATTCTTTCCTCTCACATTAACCAGGCACAAACAATCAGTTCAAAAAACAACCAAGGCTGTTTTAGGCTATACCCGAGTGTCAGTGCCACAACCGCTACTTACAACGGTGGTGTCTCATTTGCAAACCAAAATAGTGTAAATCATTTGACTGTAGGTGCATGCAGCCTACCTCCCAGCCAACATGAACATCAATATTGAACATTTAACTACAGACTGGGCTAACATTTCAAAGATACAGCTTCTTCTTTTTTAAATCTTAATGTGAATCTGTTTGATTAAGTAGGATAATTGTCAGAATGAATCTGTCAGGCATATTTTTAAAAGAACATACACAATCCCTGCACTGGTAGTTCTATGATCAAGGCCACATTTAAAATGACCATGATCCATTAGTAATGCCTTTAAAGACACCAGTCACTTTTGCTTTGGCCGATATAAGACACCAGTGATGTAAAACTGTTGTATTCTATGGAAATTATCTTTACCATTCTTTACAGCATATTTAAGAAATGAAAATGAATTTACTTTTGGAGATTCATGAGGTTGGACCATTGCTGCTGCTCATAGATGACTTGATCACCATTAGTCGAGATAAATTGAGCTTGGAGGAGGGGTTAATGCCCAGTGGGTTAAGGCGTTTCTTGGAAACATGGAACACTTTGGTGTCAGTGGGGACAACGAAGTGTGTTTGGGCTTGGTCCAATGGGGAAAGACAAGAGCATCATCAGCTATGCTTTAGATGAATAATGCTCCTGAGAGTTTTGTTCTGTCTGCTGTGGCTCAGCAGATGAGATATAATGTTTTTGCAGATATCTGTTTTGTTGCTGTGTCTTCACATCAAACACTTACAATAACAGTAATTGCTGTGTCTAAGTATAAGTCGGACGTGCAAAAGGTAAGACCCAGCATTGTACTGTATTTGTAATATTTATGTGGCCCATATATTTACACACAGACGACATCATTTTTGTGAAAGTGTTTATTGAGAAATAGTCAAAACCGGATGACTTGAAATTTGAAAAACATATGTCAATGAAAATCATCTGTCAATATTCTATTGATCAGCTTCTGAATTTCTTCCAATAGTACATAGTGTGCTAGTGTTCTTGCCATGCAGTTCTTGTAAACCTCAAACCGGTAGACCTGTTATCCTGTATGAAAAAACCTCTGCCGTTGAATAGTAAGCTCTCTAAGCAGACATTAATGCACCTACAACAGGTTGCTTCCTCTCAGTAACTGCACAGGACTGTAAGGAGCGGTGTGCACACACTTGCATTTGTTTGTCATAGTGCAAAACTAATCCCAAAACTAACAAATCCTTATATGATTTTTGTTTATAAATGTATTAACTGCTAGTTAAAAGCGGCAGGTGGATTCCGTCAGACAGATTGTTCCAGAGACTTGGGCTACTTGCTCGATGTCTCTGTATAAATTTCAAACATGGTTATGGCCACCAACAAAGTGGAGCATTCCCCTTTACTCTTGTACAAAGCACAGACAGAGAGAAAGGCAGACGAGATGCACATTAGTCGAGTAGGGGCCATAAGTAGCACTATTTCAACGTATTAGTGAGAGATCAAAACTGAAATCAGATTAGACAGAGAGGAAACTAGCAACACAAATATTTCCTGATTTAATCTCGTACATTTCATAAAACAAGTGATATTACATGAGGCTAAGCTCATAATGACCTTGCTTTTTATGGGCAGGTTTGGATACAGTAATCTGATTTAGCATAATCCCCTACAATCTCTGATAAATGCTTACAGCAAGTATCTCTGAGAGAGGTCAGATCCTATTGGACTGTTTCGAGGCTTAACATCTGCTGTTCACACATGGCCTAGTTCTCAGAGAGTTGCTGTGCAGCTTTGCAATTTTCAACCACGTTCTCATTTTAGATATCTAATAATTTCCACAAAACTATCAACATACATTAATGGGAAAAAAAAGCACGATTGTAAAAAAACCTATTTCAGAAACCTGAGCGCATATAATTGCTGATTTTTCAGATTATTTTATTTACATAATCTGCTTTATGAAGCGTTAAGACTAGTTCCAAAGACATATGTGGAATCATATGTTAATCTGTGTTGTAAAAAAAAAAAAATAGGATCCTCTCGTTTTACTTTTTAGAAAAATTGCATTTTGAAAAGGTCTCAATTTTTATTTTTAATATTTTGAGTGTAGTTATATTCTTTAACTCTTTTTCATTAGGTGTATCCAAAGTAAATATTTCTTGAAACTGTATTACTTACTTTTAGACTAAAAGAGAATGAGAGAAGTAAATAGCAGTATGCAAGCATTTCTTTCATGCTTTGCACAGATCATTTTGACTCAGTAAGAGATTATTTTGCTTAGTAACTGGGAGGCTCTTTATGCTGAAGTGTGTGTTTAGAATGAGATGCATTAAACTCATCAAAAGAAAGTCTTCAGTCCTATCAAAACAACCTGTTCACAATATACATTGAGAAATACTGGACTTCCCCCACAGTGTAGAGTCAACTTCCCCAACTATTCCCCTTTTCAAACTGTGTATATCATGGCGGATACTAGAGGGCCAGTGAAGGCATCAGGAGCTCCTCATTCCAGGTGATTATTATTGCAACAAACTAGTAGAAATGCAAGTCTGCAGGTTATTTAGATGGCAGTGTAAAACCTGAGATCCACAATGTTCAAAGCAGGTTATCTGTTTGTTGGCTTTTAACCTTCATTAACAACCTTTAGTTTTGACAGGTAAAATAAATGATGCTTTGTATCTCACTATTCTAAAGGAAATGGTCCAAATGCCTTTTTGCTACATTTTTTTTCACATGTTGGAACAAAATGCTAAGTTATCATGCAAATACATACTTGTCATTTTCACTACTATTGTTAAGTAGTATGAAATGTTCTTACTCAGAGTAAAAAACAACAACTAACTTATCATGCTGTATGGGCTACTGAACAGCAGCATGTTCAAAGGTAGAAATTGCAACTCATTTCTAAATTAGAGCGACACTGTGATTCATTCTTTTACAACCAATCTGATCAAAAGCCTTTTTAAGTTCAAAGTGTCTGTCTGACTGTCTTTACTCATTTTTTCTATATTCATCTTGTTTGGCCACAGTATTGGTCAGATTGCAGTGCATGTGCTGTATACAGTAAATCTGAGTTCACATCTGCTGACACACCCTTATCTTGATGTAGCATTATTATTAGGGATTATGTGCAGCCCCTTGTGGTGGAATAAGGTTCCACATTTGGATGATTCAATAAACATTTATTGTGTTATATACAGACAGGTGAATTTGAAAAGGAAAGCCAGGCAGGTTCCTTCTGCCCTTGGTGATTTATTACACCTTGGTATTAATTCTACAACTCTGTAAACTCTACCAGGGAACAAGTCTTTTAAAAGATAACCCCTCAATAAATGTTTTAATGATGTTGGTGGAGAGCGATGTCTTGACAAGTTAGTTCTGAAACCTTCCAGAGGGGGTTTGGTGGTGTGGCACTGCAACAACGTGGACTCCTTTATAAGAGGTCATGTAAGATGTGCCAAGGAGTCGTGCAATATGTCATTATAGCTCTGTTGTAGAAACGTGTTTTTATTTATATGTGGAACTGTTCTTGTATGATAGATAGATAGATAAATATGAGACACATTTCCCTTTGGGGACAATAAGGTATATATCTTATCTTATTAACTGAGTGAGATCTTTTTAATTTGGAAGCGATATGATATGTTTTACATCATTTTTTATATTCATCAAACCTCTGAGTGACCCACAGTGACGTATGAATGGGAGCATTGTCAACAAGAAGAGATCACTTTCATCATAGGATGAAGGCGATAACCAGAACAGTATTGTTTTGACTTGTAGTGACTCTTCCCTCTGAGGATAACAGTGATAGTTATATTGAAACCATGCTGGGAAAATGCCCCCAACACCATATCAGAAAAAAACAGAATGTCTGAGAGTATTATGTACTTTTTGGATTCCATTTTTAATATGCAAAACTTTGAGTGTTAAGCAACACATGGACTAAATACATTCTTACTTTATTGACTTTAAATCACATGCAGAGCCCAAAGCAAACAGTCAAATCATATTAGCATACAACTAAACAAACAGAACACTAAATCAAGGCCACATGTTGTCATAATGTCTCGTTACAATGGATTTTGGTCGAAAAAACGTGTCAACTGTGGAGACAGAATTTGTACATGCTTCGAGACCTGACATAACAAATCAAAGACTAATTACTGTAACATTCAATATAATGCACATGTTGAGTTGTCACCAAGAAGAGGGAGGAGGTGGTTGTTTCTCTTAAACTAACAAAGAACCCCTGCTGGCTCTTGGAAGTCAAAAGGTCAACACAAAAACACACACAAACACACACAGTATAGACATTTTAGGCATTTTTATGTGTTCTGCGTCGGTGTGTGACCGGCATCCAGGTACTGCAGAGATCAGTCAGCAGTGGTAGAGACCGATGCCATCAGGGTAACTTTGTAAACATGCCTCTCATCCCCCTTCAGGGTAAGAAGCGCACATGTCTGCACCATCTCATAGGGCTGAAATATGCACACACATATACACGCACACAACACACACACACACACACACACACACACACACACACACACACACACACACACACACACACACACACACACACACACACACACACACACACACACACACAACCTGTTAAAAAGTTAAAGTTGCTGGTTGAAGGTTCATGGTGGTGTTAGATTGGATATGATTTTTTCCCCTGGCAGAATGTAGGCATTGATTTTATTCCCACAACTAAATTTACTTTTTTAAACTTTAAAATTCAACTAATGTTTTTCTGTTCTAATGACAGCGTTTCAGTGTAAATAAGCAGCCTTTTGGTGCATCTTAAATCATAAGTATACTTTGACCTTATATGATCCCTTCAAGTCATTTGGTCCTCTGATAAATACAACACGCTCATAAGAAGCCTTGTTATGACACTTTAGCTTGACACAGATTTAACTAGACTACAAAAACATTCACATGCATTCTGTTCTTAATAAAAAGATCTTGATTCAAAAACCATAACATGAATCTCTTGCTGACCTTGTATCCACTGTGGGGAGTCCATGTGACAACGATGGTGCGTGTTTGACCTGCCTCCACTGTGCCTTTGCTGGGTTCCACGTTGAAGCCCTGCTGCTGCAGCAATGCCAAGTTATCCCAGTGAAACTCTCCACTCTGGGGAAAATAGTCAAGACAAAAATTAATTTACTGCATTAATATCTGCAGGACACCATGGGAGAGCTCTACAATTATGAAAGTCTGTTTCTGACTGTATTAAACTGGGTAACATCTGGGTGGAAAAAGTGATCTGATAGGTTTTCTGTTTCCTTTTGGTGCCCATGTCAATTAATTAGTATATTATACCAGGAGTTCTGAGGTGCATAACTCTCCAACTGGCTCATCATTTGGCTAGAAAAATATTCAAATATTCGTTAATAAGTGATGTAAATGATAAAGAGATTTTGACAAAGGATGTAAATATAGAGGTGGTCTCTCAGCTGCAAAGTTGGGGGCTCGAAATGTCCTTGGACAAGACACTGAACCCCAAATTGCATCCGCCTCTACGGCAGCAGCGTGTGAAAGCATCAGAACATGTGAAGGGATTAGTACTTTTGGGAAGTATGGCACTTTACATAGCAGCTATTGTCAACAGTGTGTGAATATGGTGTGAATGGGTGAATGTGACGTACAGTGTAAAAGCGCTCTGAGTGGTCAGAAGACTAGAAAACGGCTGTACAAGTCCATTAACCATTTACGGATTGATGTGTACAAGTTGAAATCTGTGTTCTCTTATGTGATGTATTTTGAAAATGATAACTGCAGTTTAATAGTTTATTACTTATATTTAAATAGGTATTGATGCTGAACAGGTAAATAGATTTTTTTTAATAAGCAGTTTGTTTGGCTGGTTTATTACTGAACCTGCATATAAAGCGCCCCATGTCACACACCAAGCAACTTCCACTCCATCCATCACGAGTAAATTCTCAAACTGTGGGAAACACTGAGCGAGGTGTCAAATCAGTGAGGGCAAGACACTCACCCACTCTAGATATTAATATAAAGTAGACTAATTATGTTTTTTTAGAAAGTTTGTGTGACGTTACCATGTTAATACCAGAATATTAACTATGTGAAGATGCACTCTATGCACTCTTTGAAGTATCAGTCAGCTCCATGCTAAAATAAACCTACTGCCTCTATACCTGATGACATCACAGTACCTTCTTACTGGGCTGTGCAGAGCGGATGCAGCCCACTTGCAGCTCCCTTACTGCTGGTGTGATGGCTCCTGTGCAGCAGCCTGCCTGCAGGGTCACCAGCACAGAGACGGTTGGCTTCTCCATCACCTCTGAGTCTACTATATCAAAAGGAGAAACCAGAAGGTATGCCAGTTTAAGCCTTTGCACACATTTTCTTTAGTTAGCTCTTGGACAACCAGACATATTTTAAAGATTTTCATTGCACAGTTCATGTGCATCTTTCTAAAAACGAATGAAATCATTTAAACATTTGAATGTAATTGAGCAATACTACAGCCAAGACTCCACTTGTGTTCTAACTGATATATCTCAACACATACTGGATAGAAGAATTTTTGTACAGATATACAAGATCTTCAGATAGGTTGATTCTTTCTGACCTTGGCCTGATGTCTCTGACACACCACAAGGTTGACATTTGTGGGTTTCAATTACATTTTCAACAACTTCTGATTTAAAAAAAATAAAAATGGTACAACCTCCACAAGTTCATCTAAGAGTAAACTTTAATTAGGAGGTGGCTGTGGCTCAGTTGGTAGAGTCGTTGATATAAGAGTCGTCTCTCAACTGGTCGAGGGTTCGATCCCCAGCTCCTGCAGCAACATGTCCGATGTGTTCTGAGCAAGACACTTAACCCTGAATTGCTCCTGCTGCTTCGTTGGCGGTGTATGAATGGGATTAGTTACTTCTGCTGGATGATACTACATAACAACCTCTGCCATCAGTGTGTGAATGGGTAGAGTGTAAAAGTGCTTTGAGTAGCCAGAAGGCTAGAAAAGCTCTTTATAAGCTCAAGTCCATTTAATTCAATTTTCAATTCAATTTATTTTGTATAGCGTCAACTCATAACAAGTGTTATCTCAAGACACTTTACAGAAAGCAGGTAAAATACCTTACTCATTGTTATGTTACAAAAAGCAGGTAAAAGACCTTACTCATTGTTATGTTACAAAAAGCAGGTAAAAGACCTTACTCATTGTTATGTTACAAAAAGCAGGTAAAAGACCTTACTCATTGTTATGTTACAAAGATCCGGCCTATCCATCATGAGCACTTTAGCAAAGCAGCAAAAGTTACAGTGGTAAGAAAAAACTGTCTTATTAAAAGGCAGAAATCTTCGGCTGGATCCCCGGCTCATGATGAAACAGCCTTCACAGGCCTAGACTGCGCCGGGGTTGGAAATGGATAGGGGGAGAGATGGGATAAGATGCAGGAAGAGGGATAGGGAGCAAGGGGGTGGGGGGAGGCAGACCGTCCATCAACAATCCGGTGGGGAGGGGGGGGGTTGTTCTGGCAGGCCGTCAACCAACCATTTACCATTTAATCACTGTGGGGAGACCCCAGCTTTTCATACAGCGCCAACATCACAAGGAATGTAGTCAAATTGTGCAGTACTCTACTTTAAGACCAACAGAACTAATCAAGACTCATTCCCATCTGCCCCAGCTTTTACTTTTTGTTTCATGCTAATTAACAACAATATCATGCTAGTACTATTCACATACCTAATAAAAATGATGAATATAACTTTATAACAGAGTCAATGCCTAAGTACAGCCTTAGAGAAACACTGGCCGAGCTGGTAAATACTAGTGTATGCTAGAAATCCTCTGGTTTCAATTTAATAACTTCATTCATTCAATCAAACGATAAAGCATGTGTATGACTACCAAACAGTTTTCAAGTACATATAACTCATTTTTATAGATTGCAAAAAAAAAGTTGGGGAGAGGGTCAGTGGTGATGAGCACCGTTGCTGCAAAGCATTTGCTTGTTCTACTACAGCAGTGTGTTTTTTTTTCCAGGTACTCAGGCTTCCTCCTACAATTCAACATGCACACTAGGTTTATTGGTTACTATAAACTGAGAGTGGATGAGTGGTTGTCTGTCTTCATGTGTACGCCCTGTGATCGACTGGCTACATGTCCAGAGTCTACCCTTCCCCTCAACCAATGACACCACAGCAGTGACCCACAGCAGGATAAGTGGTATAAATAATGTATTGTGGATAAAGTACAGGATGTTAAGTTAAAGAGCATGACTCTTAGGGTTGCTCGTCATCTTTAAAGTGATAGTGTCTTTATATTCTTCAGCTGAGTTCCCTGTGGGTCTGACGTTGAGTATAAAGGCTAAAAAGACTTTAATCCATTACCACGTACAATACCACAAAAAACCTGTACTATAATGAACCTACATTGACTAGAAGTTAAATACGACTACCCCATTTTCATAATACCTGAAGTATTAAACTTGAAGAAGAAAATGAAGAGGAAGGTTTTGATACCTATAAATTGTAGTCCAAGTGGAGGAAGGAGGGCTTCAGTGGGCACTGTGAGAAGTTCTTCTCCATATAGATACATGTTATGGGAAGAAGCTGCACCCTTTAGATCCACCACACACACTTTATTCTGAGAAACAGGAATAAGTATGAGACAAAGGACAAGGTCTGGTTGTGTGTGTGTGTGTGTGTGTGTGGTGTTCCTCTGACCTTATTCATTAACTCTACTGTTAGTCTGTCAGAATAGTTTACAGACGGATGGTCAGGCTGGAAGGTGACAGTGATGTCCTTGCTCTGTCCTGGAGCAATGCTGCCCTCTACTGGCACAACGCTGAACACACTTAGCCCACTGTAGTTCTGGGTTCCTGAAGAAAGTACAAAATACTTCCTGAAACTACAGTATCTCCTACTGTTATTATTTGAATGGACTATATTTGTATTTGAATGAGCTATTAATACATGTAGATTATTATATTGACCTTTTAACACCCTGGTCATGCTACATTTATGACTGTTCAGATATGTCACTTATTCTGTTTCTTAATCTTGTGTTGTTCATTATTTTGACGTGTGCTGCTGCCCCCTTGGCCATGTCACCTTTGTGAAAGAGATCACTGTTATGAATGGGTTAATAACCTGATTAAATAAAGATTCATTAAAAAACCTAATGACATTACTCAACTAGGTCAGAAAAGGTCTGGACTGCACATTTAAAGTTCATTGAGTGGTGTTAAGACATCTACATGGATTTTTTTGGGGAAAAAAGACAACAGCCCAAGCTTTTAAAGATTGCTTTAAAAAATCTTTTAAAGACACATGTAACTATTTTAGGGCGAAATGAGTAGGGGTTATCAGTCACTATGTGCAAACACTATTCTGAGCTGGTGCCTACTACCTGGCCTATACATAGCACAAATATCTTTATTGTGCTATGTGAGGATGCTGAAACAAATATGTTTACAGAAAATGTACTGCAAATACATAAATGATGCCACTATAGATTACACCACATAAAAATGTATGATGACTTTGTTTTGCACTCCCACAAAGCAAAATAACTTGTTTCAATGTAGAATTTAATGTTGACTTAACACCACGACTTAAGGCTGAACTTACACATAGGTGGTGCAACAGGCTGAAGTAGTATATAACTAATATAAATAATGTGAAATAGTTTCAAGCTCGCTTCTGCAATCCATGTGTCGAAGTGTCCTTGGGCGAGACACTTAACCCCAAATGACTCCTGAATGCATGGCCAGCAGCATTTGGATGTGTATGAATGGGATGAGTTACTATTGATGGACACTTAACATTGCATCCTCTACCATCAGTGTTATAATGTCTGTTTGTGTGAATGGGTGAATGAAACATGTGGAGTACAAGAGCTTTTAGTGGTCAGAACATTAGAAAATTCCTATTTAAGTACAGTTCATTTACCATTTTCCATGGTTCTTTAATCATTTATTATATCTCTGATTATTTTCTCTGTGCACAATATAGATGTTCAGCTGAGAAAATACATACATCAAACTTGCTGAACTGTAATGTTATGGCAGCAAAACCTTAATTCATTGCATTACATCTACATGCATTCAGGCTGCTGTGAGTTTCAGAGCACTGCACTGCATTGCACTCTCAGTCAAATCTTACCCACTCTAGGTTGGACCTTTATGTTTTTATAACTCCCAAGCTGGTGGGCCACATCATCAGCTTCACCCTGAGTCCTGGAGGGAGAGAAGCTGGCCAGCAGCACCCTGAACTTAACTGCCACAACAGAGCTGTTCTGCAGCTGCAGGCAAAACAAGGTTTAATGACAGTTCTGAGGCCTCATAAAAAGCATCAAGATAATCAGTGCATAAGTGAACACTTTGTCTTTGTCTTGTTTGAGGATAAGATGCGGAAAAAACAATTTAAAACCATTATTATGTTTCTTTTTGTACTTTTTTTCTCAGGTCCATTTCCCATGATCTTACCTTACCTTCACGACCTTTGAGGCGCTCTCCTCCTCAAACACATAGCCAAAGTCAAGTAGGTCTCCTGATTGGATGCAGGTAACAACAGGGACCACACCATCCCCAGAAAGAGTCATCTCCAGTGTCATCCTGTGGCTATGCACTTCCAAAGTCTCAAAGTACTAGAGAACAGTAGACAAAGAGTGGGTAAGACATTACTGTGTATTTAAAGTGAATACAATAATATAGATATAGGAATAAATCATCTTTCATGTGATTGGATGGCAAAATGGTTTATCTGATAAACTGAAATCAGTGGATTACTAAGGGATACAGTTCATTTTGGATAACTCCACCTCTTTACGGTCTTTACTTACTCTTTCCTCCAGAAATGGAGTAAAGGCTACGACCAGAGTGTGTATCTCTCCAGGTCTTAAACACCTGAGAGCATTCAGGAGGGAAAAGGGACCTTTTAAATCCAGGACGGATGACTTCAGCTTGAAACTGGTCAAAGAAAAGTGGTAGAACAATATGCATATTATTTGTGAAATTATTTCTCTAACATTTTGGAACGATTACTATTATTAATACTAATATTATTACAAGGGCTCTAACCCCAAAATGGTAGAAATTGAATGAGCTAAAAAAACATCAAACTTGGTGAAACAATCAGCTGACAACCATCATTATGCTTTGACCAATAAGTGATAATTATAAAATAAAATTCTCAAGATTTCTAAAACAAACAATTATCAAGATGTTGTGCATTTATTTGGTTTCCAAAAATGTTATTTAAGAAAAGCCATACTGCTATACTTTGACTCTGTCTACACAAAATTTGATAAAAAAAATAAATAAATAAAAGTCTCTTGATATCTTTTTGGATTTTAAGTAAGCACATGTTGTCGGGCAAATATTGAAGATTTATACTGATGGCCCCTTGGACATGGCCTTTTCACTGTTTCACGATATGTTAACATGTATTCATCTTGTGCTTAATTTGTCATGAACTGATACAAAACAGGGACATGAACCTTGGCACCATACCATGCCGGTCCAGCCCTTCGTACCGCCTGTGTGTGTTTTTAATTTGTGCCAAAGTTCAAAGAAAGGTAGTGTTAAGATCTTAACTTACTTATTTTTGCAGCCTGATCTTGCCTATATTCTTTACTGTGAGTTCAATGCATAGGGTGCACTCAGTTTTCAATCATGAGTGTCAAGGACACTGCTAGCTATTTTGAGAACACAGAAAATGTACCTCCAAGTTATTTGTGAGCAATTGGGTGTTTTTTTTAATTAGATATATATTTATATATTAATATTAGGCTTTCATTTTTTTACTGGTTAAATAAAGGTTAAATTAAAAACAAGTCAGTATAGAACACAAATATAAAAAAATATGATATTGTATTAAAAAATTTAACTAATTAGATAAGTAGTTAAAAACACAAAGTAACGTGTGAAATTCTTCATTTTGTCTAGTCTAAAACAAGTTTTCACTTAAACAAAGCTGATCCATATATGCAGAGTAGAAGGATACATCCAAGGACTCATGTGAAATGTTCTGAACCATAATCTTCTTGATCTTCTTTTCTCCTGAAAACAGAAGACACCAGAACAGCATAACAAGTAAATACAAAAAGGTGTACAAGCTGATTGCACATGTAAAAATTTACATAAATGTAAAAATGTAAAAAAATCACAGAGAAATAATTTCCTTTAAAATCACTTACCCACTGCCACCTGGTGGAAGTTTATGATATTGTGTCCATTGTTGGAAATAACCACCAGAGGGGGCTGTATGGCAGGACATTGCAGCTTCAAGTAAAGGGTATTCAATGTGCTGTGGAGATATTAAACATTACAGTCTATGAAATAAGAGAGCATCCATCCATAGACATAAAGATATATATGTATATATTCATGTACTCTAGGGTCTCTTTCTAGTTGGATTTTCCCTGAAATCCAAATCAGAGGAGACCCTAGGGCAGTGGTTCCCAACTTTTTTTGGCTCATGACCCCACTTTGACATAATAAACCCCATGGGAAGAAGCTATTTGCTCTAATATAAGCTTCATCTGCATGTCTGTGCTCTTTACCCTCTCCCTAAGGCTGATCCCAGCCACCCTTCAGGGGAAACTAATTTCAGACATTTTCAGTCACTCCTAAAACTCATGACATCATGACATGTTGGTCTTCAGATCTGCTTTCAGGCTCAGCTCCCTCTTTTTTACCCTCACATGTGAACAAGTTGGAATAACTTTAGGTTACTATAGTATCTACGTTGATATATAAACAGCGTAAGAATAAGTGTAAGAATATGTGTAAGAAGAAGTATAAACGCTCTGATAATATCATGTGCGTGCTGGTGTGACTGCTTGTGTAAAAAAGGGACGATTATTTACAGGCCATGTAGGGGAAAAGAAGACAGTGTTCTTTTCACATAGATACAGTTGCAGAAGTGGTTCCACTCTACCTGTGTCTGCAGACAGAAGATTGTTACAACAATGCTTGTAAAATGTGTTCATGAAACTGAATAAAGGGCTGATGAATTCAACCTTCAGAATCCTAGTCATCTTTTATAACCCGAACAACAAGACCCTGAGATACTGGAACCTTTTCACTTAGGGAAGAGAACCATGGCTTGAGACGTGGAGGTGCTGACCCTGATCCCAACAGCTTCGCAGCAAAAAACCCCAATATCTGTTAGAGGTCTTAGCCTGATAAAGCCAGCAGAATCACATCATCTACACAAAGCAGAGATGACATTCTTAAACCAGACAACCCTTCTTCCTCCGGCTACACCCTGAGGTCCTGTCCATATAAATCACAAACAGAATCTTTGACATGGGACAACCCTGAAAAAGGCCACTATTCATCAGGACTGACTTTGTATGGAGAATGCAGACACAGTTCCAACTTTGGTCATACAGGGACCATACAGGACTCCCTACATGACCCCCCCGGAACACAATTGTAAGCCTCTAGGTCCCCAAAGCACATGTAGACAGGAAGCGCAAACTCCATTGGTCCATTGTTCCCGAGTCAGGCTGGAATCTGCGCTGATACTACTTTATCCCAGACCTCTAACCGACACTATAAAGTTGTGTCAGCCAGGACAGCCCCACAACGTCCTCAGAAACATTTGCCGAGAATATAGGTAAGGCTTCCCCTGGATCTTCCAACTCTGCCTTTACATTAGAGCATGTGTTTAAGCATGAATTCAGGATTTACTCAAAGTGTCCCTTCCTCTGGCCAATGATATAACTCCTCCTCTGTTGAAAACAGCCTGAGCCAAATTTTGCTTTTCCTGAGCTGTCCAACAGTTTGCCAGAACTTCCACGAGGCCAACATATAGCCCTTATCCATAGCGTCCCCAAACTCCTCCCACAACTGGGATTTTACTTCCAATGAGATACCACTCTGCTGTTACCAGAGACTAGATAAAAACCAATCATTGGGCAATTGCAAAAGGGTTTGGAATAGAAAGACCTGTGGTTATAGTTGTGATTTGATCCTGTTTATCAAGTAGTTGTGGTCTATCTTACAATCAGCCTTTGATCATAAATTATTATATTTTTTATACAAATCCCCAAACTCAATTTCTCCAAAAATGTAAACAAGTAGTGTAAACGTATTGGTGGTCTGTACAAGAACATGGTTTAAATAACTGGTTCCAATTTTGTTTGTGGGATTACAATAAATAAGGCTGCAATGGTGCATTGTATTTATACAATGAGAAGGATTTTAGGAACTCTGAAGGGTCCAAGTCCCAAAGATGAAAAAATAGAAATCAGAGATGACAGGACTTACAGCTGACTGAACAGAGATGTAAAGAAGCGGAATCATTATCACCTCCATGGCTGCTGGGTCTCAATGTCGTTCTCTGATGGCTCTCCGTCCAACACATAGCAGGGGATGCTGTACTCTCTGAAGCGCTGGGTGAAGGAGCAGAGCAGGGAGAGCCTGGCCTTTTCATACAGCTGTGACCTTGAAACAAAATACTAAAGACTTCAAATACAAAAAAATTAAAAAGCACTCTTTTTTTGTAGATCATACGCTCTATGTTTTGATAGTTGCAAGTTAAAAGAGACTGAGATACTGATGGAATCAAGCTGAGATTAGAACAGGGGGAATGAACAAGCAGAAGCTTTGTATGTTTGTTTGGTATTGATGGACCTCAGACTTCTTAGTATACTTTTTTTGAAGATGTTTCCAACACAAATTATTCATTCTACTTTTTAGATTATTTATTAATTAGCATTAGCTTCATTGGCATTTCAAAAGTATTTTGTGATACAAAACAATTTAAATGATTGACGACATGGAATCATTTAAGCGTGTAGAAATACAAAAACTCTTACCCTTGCTGGATCTCAGCAGTATCAGTTGATTCCGTGGGTTGGTCAGTCATCTTTCCGTCTGATGCCATGTTGTTGTTTAGAATCACAGATGTCTTCTTTTCTTTACCGATTTCCACTGGGTCCTGCTTTTCAGTGGTACAACACACATGTCTGAATACTATGGGAGGTTTCAAACTAACTAATCAAGACTGCAAACATCTCATCAACTCCACCAAGAAATCAAACAAACTGTCAATGCTATTTGTGTCTGGCCTGCAAACATGGATCTGTGCTGAAAAAGCAGAAAAGGAGCAGCCAAGCTTTTTGATCTCTTTTTCAATGATTTACTACTTTAGTAGACAGAGCTCCCACAACCTTCAGCAAGGTGATCTGGTACTACTACCACCCGACGTCCCTGACACCCAGCCACCACCATTGGACTGTGTCGTCCCCACAACAACCGCCGCCCTCATTCATGCACGGCCTGCTGCGGCCACCACCTCAGCGCCAAGGAAGTGTGAACAGGAGAAAGGAGAAATCCTTCCTGTATATTATCCCATAATGATCTTTTCTAAAGCGTCTCAAGATAACACTTGTTATGAAATATACAAATACACTATACAAATAATGATTGATTGATTAGTTATTTCTAAGCATAAATGAAAGTGTCAGTGAGGCCCAGCTGAGACATGAGCAACAATGGAATCAGCCAGGCAGCTGCAGACATTTAATAAGAGCGTACGGTTACATAAGAGATGCAAGTACAGTATGCCATTGAAATGCTTATGGTCTAGATGCAGCAAAAGGTCAGCATTATGTAGTAGCCCACTTTTAAAATCCTTTAGTGGGGGCAGGCTGTGCATATTTTCATACTTGCTGTTCAGTGTGACTGTTCTTCTCAAACTCCTTTTCAGGAAGAGGCCCCAGTCGGTGGAAGAGTCGCAGCGCCTCCTCTTTGATCTCCTGCTCTCGCAGTCTGGGTCTAAATGTGACCTGGATTTGTTGTTTCTAGGTCAGAGGAGAGATTGTAACATATCAGGAAAAACACTTTTTGTAAAAAAGTTAGAGGGTTAAGTAGCATCATTTTAACAGGTGTTTGTTGTTTAAAAAATGATGTTAAGGAAGCTTTAAAATAAGACTTTTCAAACTTAACCCTAACTAGTTTTGGGCTGGTTTGCAGAAATTATTCAAATGAGCTAATTTCACACTGTAGAGACTTCAGCACAGATAGTGTGACAAAAAAATGAATGTGTTCACTTCTGTCAGTTGTCCAGTAGGGGGCATCACTACACTGTTGAAACATCAGTTTGGTGCCACTGAATGGTTCTAAATATATTTAGTTGAACAGAGGCTGGAAGATTGCATCTGCATCTGTTAGCTGTGTGATCATTATGGCTCTGTTAAATAAAATGTTATAATACGCTAAAATCTGTTTCTTCAGATTTGGTTACCTTACATAGAAGAAAATATTATTTTTATTATCGGTGAGTTTTTGGATTTGGATCGTATGTGGGAATAACCTCAACTTTGAATAGTACACTTTGCAACGATGCAAGGGAAACGTTTCTGCTACGGATACAATTGAAAAGCAACTCCAACCTAATTTCCTCAGCGTCACCAGCTCTCTTGTCTTTAAAATCTAAAATTTCTAATCAATAAATCTCTGTTATGTCACGATTGTGTGAATCTAAATAACTAAGACTTAATCATAATGGAGACATGGTTGACTGAGGCAAACTACAGGCCTCCCTGACTTTCTTCTTTTTGGGGCATAAACAAAAAAGGTCACTCTTTACCCTTGAACTAGTTCAGAATGAGGCAGCTTGTACGACTGAAGATACACAAGAAATGAGATGAGAGAGAGAGAGAGTGGAGGACGACATGCACCAACAGCATCAGGATCGAGAGTCCAACCTGCGACTTGTGCATGACGGACTGTAGCCTCTGTACACGGGGCCCCTGCTCTAACCAACTGAGCTAAACCAGCACCGACCAAAATCTTTCTTTGAAATTTGTCAAAGCTATCTCTTTAAGGAGACGTTGGTAGAACTCTACTAGCTAAAATACGGTTATAACATCAACATGCTGCAAATACAATTTTGTTTAATTATTTTGATCATTTGTTCATTTTAGGATCGAAAGAATGACAGACATCATGATTGTAGTGATTTGCCCAAAGTCATTTTGCAGAGTGTGAAATCCTGTCTATGAAAAGACAAATGATGACATTAATGTGATGCTTTACAGCCCATAAAGCGTCAAATTAATGTTGTCTTTGGTCTAACAAGAAGGTTCAGAGACATTGTAAAGAGAGCCGTTTAAACATTCGCTTTAGAAAAAGAAAAAAGAAGACATAAGCTGTACAGCTCTGACTACCTAGACAGAAAGACCCATGGGTGCTGACGTAGTAATTTCATACCTGACAGGAGAAGGGCCTTATAGAAAGTTTGTTGGCTGACACGGGAGAGCACTGGACTTGTATGTAGGTAGTTAGATACCTTTGGCCCATATGGTATTTTTTTCTGGGCTGCATAAACATATTTAAATGAAAATGACAGATATAACAAAGGAGACACCAGAGAGTGTTGGAGCGTCAGAGGAACGTTTAGCAGGTCAATAGTGTGTGACTGTTGAAACGCTTTCCTGTAATGCATGCAATGAAAGTACCTAGTGTTTCACCTGTATACTTAGTATACCTGTATACCTGTATACTGTGTGAAACCAGGTATCCTCTATGTGCTCGGTTATACGATCATTTTAGCAACTACTAATAAATGCATCTTGAAATTGCCATGTGAATGTGCAATAAATTTTGTGACAAAAGCAGATTTCTGTGTCAAATAATCTATGTTTACATAGATGTTTACAAACATCTACAAATAGTCATCTTTTGGCCTGTTTTGAATGTCCTTCAGTCAGTGTCCATGTATATCTTCTTAACTTGAACAGTAAATGCTAGTTAGGGTGTGCTAACTAACCTTGCCAAGCGGTAGGCTTCCTGCTGAAGGAGTGATGCTGATGTCTGAATCCTCTGGTAGGGCGAAGGAAAACATTTTGGCTGCTATAGGAGCCATGCCTGGAGAGATTGGTTGTTGTGGCTGGTTATTCTTGGTTTTATGGTTGATCAGGTGGAGTACAGCGGTGGAGTGGCTACCTACTGCTGTAGCCCCAAATTTGACCAGCGAATGAGAGAGCTTCAATGGAGGGCAGAAACCGACCGCTCGGCAAGACAGGAGGAAATCTCTGATGACACAAAAGTGTATTGTTTGATTACAGACTCAAATCCAATTGTATCAAATACATTGTATAGATCACAGGATCCATTACACATTTAATTTACAAAAAAATGCAAGATTGAAAAAAACCCCCCAAAAAACCTGTTAATTCCAGATTTGCAGCTGAGTTTAAAACTGTAAGCTTTGGCCTTTTTCGCATTGAAAATCAGAAAGATTTCCATCGTCTCTCGTGGGAGCAGAGTGCCAAAGCCGTCATTAGGCTGGACCTCAATAAACTGTTGAATGAGAAAGAAACACAAAGATTATTTGAATTTTTACGATCTACAGTTATAATCCTTACAATTTCAACAGCCATTAAATGTGGCTAAATAATTTAATTAAAGCTTCAGAGTGCATGTCACTAACTAGATAAAATGTAATAGTTTCTTTGAATACATGTGTCTCTGAGCTGTACCTTCCTTTGTACTTTACATTTTTATCAGTTCTGAATCAAACAACGATTAAGGTTAAGTTTGCACATAACTAGCCAATCACAGCAACTCTATGTTTGGTTTACATGGCAACAGTAAGATTTTAATCTAGCGCCATTTGTTTATGTTGCTAACTGCCACTTTAAATCTGCATTAAATTCAAGTCTATCCTCAACAACAAAACGTTGCTGTGTAGTTATTTCTTTAAGTTCCATTCACATCGGAATTTGGATTGAGTTTATCTCTGGTTGTGCCTTTGCATTTGCATATATCTCAAACACTTTGTTAATTACAAAAACTGGAAAAAGCAAAAGAAAATGAGACTCTTTCTCCAGCTGCACCAGTCCAATTCAACTTTCAGCTTTTACTTAGCAGTGTTATTTAGATTAGTTTTCCACTCACACTGTCAAAGAATGGACTTCATTCTAATAGCAAATGTCACTATGGAGAGTGATCTGAATGCACTCAGCTTACCCCAGGTAGATACCAATCACTAATGTCTTTCTGCCAACCCCAAGCCGCCCCTCTAGAGATGCCCATGTTGCAGCACTACAAACAAAATCGTACAAAAGCTTGTTTCTCCTGTAGTACCTCAGGAACATCTAAGAAGCCAAAGTCCTGAGGCAGCAGGGAGAGGTTGGTAAGGTGAACACTGCTCTTGACTGACTGGTAAATGGAACTGTAGCCAAAGTCCACCTCAGTCCTGTCAAACTGCAAGTCTGATGAGGTCACAATTGCTTGGACGGTGAAAT